AAGATATTTAAACTATCAGTTAAGAATGAAGCGTAATGAATTAAATAGTAATATCAATTTAAAAACATCGCCCTTTAGATACGGTATACGAAGCAGCGGAGTCGAACTCAAAAATATACAAACCACTACGTAAATATTACTACCCCTCTTTCACTCTTTTACCAGCAAACTTAAAATACAAAAGTAAAAATCTTCATAACAAAAAAACAAATTATAACGTTAATAGCGTTAATTGTTATTATACTAATGCTACATCTCTCGATAATAAAATGGCCGATTTAATTTCAATATATAGAACGTTTGATTATCACGTTATTGCTATCTCTGAAACATGGTTTCGAAATGACTCAGTACCAAATATCGATGGGTATAGCCTATATTGTAAAGATCGTCAAGACGGACGTCGAGGTGGCGGTGTACCTATCTACATTGCAGACGTATTTAACTCTCATGAAGTTAATCATTTTTTTACAAATCTACTCGAACAAGTTTGGGTATCTGTAAAATTTAGCAACAAACATATACTTATCGGTTGTATATACAGACCAAATGATGCTAGTTTAATAAAATATGTCGCTGAATCCTTCAAATTAGCTCATAGTTAAATTAAAAATCCCTACGATGACTGTTTAATTGTTGGTGACTTTAACCTCCCGAATATAAAGTGGTCTAACGATGGTATTATATCTTTTAACCCAAACAATCCTACCGAGTATGATTTCTGGAATATTTTCCTAAACAGCCTTTTTACACAACATATCACTTTTTCTACTTTCCAGACTGATTATGGTTCCTCAAATAATATGTTGGACTTGTTATTTACCTACAACAGTAATTCTATTTTAAACTTGTTTTAAACTATACTAGGTAATAACACTAAGGTTCATTTTAGTATCACTTGGAGATTCTTAGTTTCAGAACTGTTCACCGAAAGTGAATCTCAATCATTTAATTACAAAAAAGGTGATTACGATTCAATATCTAACTTTATTGCATCAATCGACTAATTGTTTTTATTTCTGCATAAAATTGCAGATCAAATGTTCAATATACTAATTTCTAACTATCGCACTGCTTGCACATACTTTATTCCCAAGATTAATAAAACAAAAAAAAAGTATGATCCTTGGGTTACCCCACATATTAAAAACCTGATCCGAGCGAAAAAATCCGCTTGGCATATTAACTGCTCTACCAAATGGGAGAATAGTGAGCTTAAAATAAAATACAATCGACTTAATCGTTCAGTAAAAGCTATTTAAAACAAAAACAGCACATGAAAAAGAAATAATATCAAAATCCCAAAACAACCCAAAACTCGTTTTCAAATATATTAACAAACAACTAAAAATTAAAGATCGAATTCGCTCTCTCAAAGATACTTCTGGCAGAATTATTGAAGCTCTTCCTGATATAGTTGATCTTCTGAACTCTCAATTTGAATCTATATTTACACTTGAAAGCTCTGAAAATTTTCCTTTGCTAAATTAAAGTGGCATTCATTCTGAATGCATTTATAATGAAAACTTGGATTTCTCTATCCCAGATATTATTCAGAAACTTGCCGATCTAAACCCTTATAAATCCTTCGGATTTGACGGCCTACATCCCATAATACTCAAGGTATGTGCCAAAAGATTTGCAATTCCATTAACAAAAATCTTTCATGAATCCTTTAATTCTGGAGTAGTACCCAGTCAATGGAAATTAGAAAATATTAGTCCGATCTATAAAAAAAAGGGAGATAAATTACTTGCTGAAAACTATAGACCTATTTCACTATATCTGTTGCCTGTAAAATCTTCGAAAAACTTGTAAAGAACAAAATTTTAAATCACATTAACGGTAATAAAATGCTCTCTGCAAATCAATATGGCTTCCTTTATCATAAATCATACGTAACTAACCTAATAGAAACTTTTGATATCATTTTGTCCTCCATAGCATCCCACCAATTTATTGATGTAATCTACCTTGACTTTGCCAAAGCGTTTGATCTGTACCTCACAACAGACTTTTGTTAAAATTAAAATCTTTCGGAATAAACGGCAAACTCCTACAATGGATTAAATCCTTTTTAGTGGGCAGAAAGCAACTCGTTACAATTAACAATACCAACTCTGCATGGGTTGATGTTCTCAGTGGTGTTCCTCAAGGTTCTGTTCTCGGCCCGCTCCTCTTCATTCTCTACACAAGAGATATTTGCCGATGATACTAAATTTTTTTCTAAAACCTTACCGCAATCTAATTTTGTTGATCTGCAGGATCGTCTATGCTTGGTATACGAGTGGTCAAACACTTGGTTACCTAAGTTAAACACCTCAAAATGCTGCGTCATTCATTACGGTCGAAACAACTCCCATTTCAATTACTTTCTGCAAAATAACCAAGGAATCAACCAATGTCTAAGAAGCTCTACTAAAGAACGTGATTTAGGAGTCATTTTTACATCTAACCTCAAGTGGAGCGCTCATATTCAAGCAGTTGTCTTTAAGTTCTTACAAATTCTTGGTATGCTAAAAAAGACATTCACTTTCATTGATGAAAAAATGGCTCTCAAATTATATAAAGTGTTTATAAGACCACATCTTGAATATGGAGTGTCCGTTTGGGCTCCTTATTTAAAGGCTGATATGGCTTTGGTTGAATCTGTTCAACGCAAAGCAACAAAATGGGCTTACAGCTTGAAGCATCTTCAATACTGCGAAAGGCTAAAAAGATTAAATCAACCATCACTTGAGTTTCGACGCCTTCGATGCGATTTAATCCAAATTTTTAAATTAATACATCGTTTTGATATAGTTAATGATAAATATCTACCAAAATATATTAACTCCGTGTCTCGTGGTCACCATTCTAAAATAAGGCGTGAGTATGCTCCAAACTGTCTTCCAAGATCATTTGTATAATAGATCAGCAAAATACTGGAACGAACTACCAGAGCAAATAACTTTGTACTCCACTGTACTTTCCTTCAAAAATAGACTAGACTCCTGGTTGTGGAATAAGTTTGGAAAAAATATTTAAAAACTGGTTGTTTATAGTGGGGTGTTTTGCCTGCTCGCTGTATGTGTACATTCTATGTAAATTTACGGCTACAACTATAATAATAATAATAGAAAAAAATAATAATATTTAAACTGCCTATATTGTTATGTATATTTATAAAAAGTGTGTTATTTTTCTACAGAAAAGTATTAATATTGTAAAATTTATCTAAGTGTCAGGAAATTATTATACGACTGAAAGCAAAAATAATTCGAAACTCTTTTTGTTTGTTCTAAATCTTTAAAAAAAAAAAAGTTTGACTGTTTAATTTTTGCGATTTTGCGATTTTTTTATTTCGCCTATTGTAGTGCCTGTATCAGTTCGCATTCGGTGTAAATAATGTTAATATGTTTTATAATTGGTCTAACTATGTTTATATTACATATTGGTCAACAGAAATATAATTTTTTTGATTATTTTTGCTAAAAAGTACCATTAAAATTTCGAAATTCTGCCAAGTTTATCATTTTGCGCATTTATTTAAAAATCAGAGAAGCCTTGGATTATTATATTGAATGATAAAATATAAAACATTTAGTCGGTGTTCATATTATTTTTACAGAACGTATTTATCTTTAATAGCTAGCTTTATAGCGATTTTCAAGCGATTTTTTTTTTCTTATTTTATTCTTTACTAATGTCTCTAACATCTTTAAAAATTCGGTTTTTAGTGTTGAGTCTATTATAATTACGAGAATAATTGAACTTTAAACATTGCGATTTTGTAGCAATGTGTCGCTAGCTACATATCGTAGCTTTATAGCTAGCTACAAAATATCTAAAAATCTATCGCTGGTTGATAGCTACATACCAAAATTTTTTTGATAGCAATTTTATTACAATATGACGGTAGCTACAATAGCCTGTGAGTCTTTAGCTTATTAAGCTAGCTGTCCTCGTAGCCAAATCGCTCTCTTTATCTTTACAAATATCGATAGCTTTTCGCTAACTTAAAAAAGCTAGCGATCCTCGAGGCCAAATCGCTGTCTTTATCGTGACGATTATAGCTAGCTATTTGCTAGCCGATTTCCCACCGGGTTTAAAACGGAATTCTCATTCGGGTCATTAATTTTTTTAAAAATCCAAACTTCGGGATAGCTTTTTGATTCATTCATCTTCCGTTACATTGCTTAGGGGTCGTCCATAAATTACGTCACGCAATTTTTGACCAATTTTGACCTCCCCCCAACCCCCTTTGTCATACTTAAGAATCAAGTTTTGTATGAGTCGTCACAAAACCACCAACCTCCCCCCCCCCTATAGCGTGACGTATTTATGGACGTGCCCTTACTTTCGTGACGAAATTAAAGTTTTTTCGCAACATCATCATAAAGGATTTTTTTTTAATGGGATTTTTCCAGAAGCATTTGTTACGTAAATCTTGTTTTTCTGCTTACTATTATCTTTCATTTTCAATTTCTAAAATTTATATATAAAATATGTATTGGAATACATTAAATAACAATAAAGACATTGAAGTTGATCTACTTTGTTAATTATTATTACCACTAACGTAAAATCGAATGAAAGAAAACAGTAAGGTAGAAATTATAAGTATCAATATTTTCTTTATATTTTCAAGAGGTTTTACAAAAACTTAGTATAATTTAGTATTAGTAAAGCTTAGTAGTTGTAAAACTTATTTAGTAGTGAGTTAGTCACAGTTGAAGTAACACTTTTTATCAACCTTGAAACAACTTTTTTTCGTTTATTAATTTTTAAAAGAAATTAAAAAGTAACAATATGATACAATTTAATTATTTTATTTTTGTCATGGTGTATATTAAAGTAAAAAAATTATAAATCTTGTAAATATATCAACGCATAGTTCATATTTTAAATATTTTTAATTTGTTTTCATAATTAATCTTATAATTTGTTTTAGTAGATGATATTAATACATTTTTAATTTTGTTTTGGCATATAAGCTATTGGTAGTATTTCTAAATTTAATACAGTTTAGCATAGAAGAATTTTGTATATTTTTATTTTGAACATAACTCGAAAACATTGTATAACTTACTATTGTGTAAAAGGCTGAATAAAAACAAATATTAGACAATGTGACTCAGATCAGTTTACAATTTAAAAAGTTTATAATTATTGTATTTTTACTATTGATGAGTGTATTTGTAACAATGACACTTAACTTCAAGTCATGAAATTGTTTTGCTGATATTTATAAAATATATTTTTAATACTCAATTTTTATATTTTCTATAGCATCAGACTTTTTACTTAATTTTTTATATTTTCTATAGCATCAAACTTTCACTTCTTTATTTTTGAAGCTCTTGAATAAACATTAAGTTAATTACATTGAAAAGAGCATCATGTTTTATGTTTATTTTGTAATTTTACACATTTTGTCTAATTTTGCTTTTTTTTAATCTCTTTGCATGAGAATGTTAAAAAATGGAAGAGAGAAACAGACAGAGAAATGTTTCAAAACATAAATTTAGTAAGTTTTTAGAAATTATATTTATTGAGTTTTAAGAAAGAATATAAATTTACTGAGTTTTAAAAAAAAAACATTCATAATATTGCTTTTATAAAATCTGTAGAAAATAAGAGATTTTGAGTAAAAAATTATTAATAATAATATTTGTAAAATATTTTTATGTTTTCCATTGTATTTGGTCTTCATTGCTATATTACCCACTCATGTAAGTAGGCAAGTATAGCAGTTTATTCACCCTGGGTGCACCATGATTTCTATAGTGTTTTTTTGTCTATAGTTATTAAAGCTTTTACTGTCAATAATTCTTTTAACAATATTAAAAGTATAGAATTTTTTAAAATTATTAATTAAAATGTTAAATTTTTATTTTTCATTCGAATTCAAAAACATTTTGAATTCTAATAAACATTATCTTTGAATTAATAATAATTGAGTTTTTTAATGCACTCTAAAATGAATAGAATAAAAAATAACTTATTCTAGAGTGCATAAAAAACAATAGAAATTCTATCCACAAAATAACTTTAGTTCCAAAAGTATAAAATATTGAAATCAAAAAGTTATAAAATATTGAAATCAAAAGAAGATATGAGATGTTTATGAGATGAACTTATATAAAACATTAGTTAAGAGATTATCAGAAATTATTTAATTGACTGACATTTCATAAATACAAATGGATCATTCCATATAAGCCAATTTTTTTGAAAATTCCTGGGTGATCATCTCAGATTTTCTTGAAATTTACACCCCTCATAGGTTTTATGGAAAAAAAGATTTCCCTAAAATTTCAACTCATTATCTTGAAGCATTCTAAAACTATGGCAATTTGAAAAATTGATGTCTTAGCCTATTACGAGCAGTTAATTTCTTTTTTAAAAAAGTCTCATCTTTAAACCCATATAAATAAAAAAACCAACTATCTTAAATACTTTAAAAATTAATCCGATGACAGTAATCTACCTAAACTTTCGAAAAAATTTATTTTACAAAAATAACTATTTTTGGCCATCTTGGGCTTCAAAATTATAAAAGAAAACACTTTAAAGAAAAAAAATTCAATATTAATAAAGCAAATGAAACCAGAATACACAAGTAAATGCCAAAATTATGTTATTTTGTGAGAACATAGGTGGTAGTTATCATTCATGATAAGTTTTGTAACATTGGATTCAAAATTATAGAAGTAAGACCCCCTTTAAAAAGCCTCCAGTCTTAAAATGGTAAAACTTGGTCCATTTTAGAACTAAAAATTACCAGGGTGTCCAGTAAATTCAACACTTGAAACTTTTAGGAATGTATCTTCATTATAAAAGCAAGAAATACATAAATCTCAATTACAATAAAAGAATGTAAAAAACAAAATTATAACTTGTTCTCAAAATAATAGTCTAGATAAAATGTTCTTCAACATGTATCATCTAATATACACTTCATTTCTAGCTTCCCTTCATTACATGGTATAAAACTGTGATGTGAACGCATTCCTGGAAATCTTTTAGAATTAGAGTAGCGGTTATCAAGCTTAGCATTTTCTATATGGTCTGTTACATTAGTTTCAGAAATACTAATGAATTTAATACCTGTTATATTTTCAGTACACCATTTGAACATTTCAGTGACAGATAATATTTGGTTATTTTTTAAGGCTAGTCCTTGTTACAAATCGTTTTATGGTCCCACCAATGTCATCAAATGGACTTTTACCATGACTTGTTGCTAAAAAATGCTACTCTACAAGTATTCCATGGTCTTGAAAATGATGGCATATATTGCTAAGAATTTTATAGTTTTTGTATTGGCTAGCTGCTCCATCACTAAAGTAATAACATATCTTCTAAAACTATAGCTAAAAATGCATTAAAAACAGCATCATGTTGCATACAATCAGATATTATGTAACAGTTTATTGGTTTGAGTTTATTTTCAAAATCTTTGTAATATATAACGAATGGATATAAAAAAAATTAAGACAAAATTCAAAAAGAATAAAGATTTTACAAATGAAGAAGAAAGTATTTAGCAGAAATATTTATATTTAAAAGATTTAGAGAAGGCAGTGTTTGAAGACAAAGATTTTACCAAATACCAGTGAAAAACAAATAAAGAAAGTTGAAATTTAAAAAAATGAATAGTTGGTTTATTATGAATAATCAATATATAAAGTTGTTTGATTGTTTAATGAAAAAATAGTTGTTACCAATAATATAAGATGGCGAAGGATTTATATAGTAAAGAATTATTGATTTCAGTTTTTAAATCTATGCAATTAAGTTTTGTAAAAGCAATTAAAACAAAAAGTTAAAAAAACTTAGAAAAAACACATTTACACAGAATAAATTAGCAAAGAGCAATTTACTAACTTTGGTTATAAATAAACTAAAAAAGGTTCATTAACTGTTCAATGAATTAACTAAGAAAAATTCATTATGTAAGTACATCATTCATAATATTTTTAAAAATCCTAATATAAAATATTTGGAGCAATTGCCTTTCTAACAATATAAAGTGTAAATTTTGTACAGTGTCTTTATTTAACTATTTATGAACATTTTTCAGCATTTAGCACTTGTAATTTAATTTTTTAAACTTTTTTAATTCTTTAAACTTTTTTAATGTCTATTTTTGTTTTTTGTTTTAGCACTTAAGTTTAAATGAAAAGAATTAATCATTAAAAGTCAACTTAGATGTCTTATGAGGGTAAGTAACACATATATAAATAAAAGTTATCTGCGTTCAATGAATTACAAGAATAACTCCTGGTAAATTATTGTTTGCTGCTAATTATTTGGTTAGAGGATAGCTTCAACCACAGTTAATTTAAAAATATTGATAATCTTGTTAGTAAGCCAGTAAAAAAATGTTTTGTAATGGTATAATAGCAGTTAGAGAAAGTAATTAAGTAAAATAAGTTGTAAAAAATTAAATGTTGTGATTAGTAAAATATTATAGATTCGAAGGGCGAAGTTTGAATCATGTAATGTGGTTTTGCATGTTGTAAAGTGGTTTGACATAATATAATGCTTATTGTAAAGTGGTTTGCATGTTGTAAAGTGGTTTGATATCAGATAAAACTAAAAGTGACTACTGGCTGTGATGGAATTTTGATGTACAATTTAATTGGCTGTTGTTAGAAGATGTTTTGAAAAAAAGGAAAAATATATAAATGTTGTCTTTAAAGTTAAAGATTTTGCATGTAAATCTATTACAACATGTAAAAAATAGAAATAGATGATGATGCTTTTTTTTTTATTATTGTTCTAGTTTCTGCTCATCATGTAATTTTCATTTTATTTTAGTTTGTATTCTACACTCTGGTAATGATTCAAATATTATTTTCAAGATAAAAAACTCTTTCAAAGCTGCTAAGTCTCGAATAACATTTGAAATTATAGACATAAAAACAAATCAGCAAGTAGAAGCAATTGTTGCTATTGCATTAAGGGATTATAAAGAGCGTAAAATGAATTTAATTATTATCATATCACTAGCGTTTCTTAATACTATTTGGGTTACTGGGTATAAAACTAGAATCCTTAATGATATTCTAAATTATCCTTCTGAAAATGTTCTTCATATATGGGCAGAAGATGTTAATGAACAAATTATGCGCATGTATAGTACACACCTATGTCAAACACATATAGGATTTAAAAGGGTTTTATTTAAAGATTTAAATTATTTATCTTCAGATGAAATAGCAGAAAAAATAGAACATAAACTTTTTGGTAAGTTTTACAATTTATATTACATTTTTGTAAAATGTTCAAGAAATAATCATGAAAAAAAATTTATTTGATATTATATCTATTTTCTAAATTATGTTTGAATATAGGCAGTGCCTATATTCTATTATTATTTTTTTAAGTATATTCTTTTTTATTTTGTCTTTATTTTGTTCTGAACATCTGTTCAATATATTGTTAAATTTTTTTATCCCTCCTCTTCTTCCTAAATTTTTCTATATTTCACTTGGGCTTGACTGCTCGGTCTAGTCTTTTGATGCATGTTTTTCAAAATATCTATACCAAATCTAGAATTACTAAGAATGTCCTATATAAACAAATTCAATGAATGAGTGCGTTCCTTAAGCAAATGTAAATGTTTTCACTTGCTAAAAATGTATAAAATTGGATTTCAAAAATGTTGTCTTTTTTTGCAAATTTACAATTTAAAAAAAATTTAGGTTGATGATGGGGCATGCTCAATGGGGCCTAACTAAGGAAAAGCAGCCAAAATTCGAAAAGAACTTCCTCTCTGTCTAAAATTTTGCAAATTTATTGAAAAACAGTTTAAATTTTGACCCAAATAAGGAGCATGATGTGCATTTTTTTGCAGCAGTCATGGCACAGTGATTCGAGTTTCAGAAGCAGATGCCTTCCAAGGAGTTCACACCACCTTCCAGAATATGGAAGGATAAATGCTTCTCAGTGGTGGTCTGTGGTAAAACAATCAGATCTTTTTGGAGCTCCTTAATAACTAAAAAAAAAAGTATTTTTTCCACCAAAATATTTACATTTTTTTCACTTAAAAAAATGTTAATAAAAAAAGGTTAAATAAAATCTCTCTAATAATTCAAAAAAAAAAGAGAATGTTTTTATGAAATTGCAAGCAAGTAATGTAAAGTTATTAATTTAATATACCAAATGAAAGAGATATATGGTACTATTTCTAACTGTACAGAGTATTGCCACAAAGTTAGCATATAATGAATTGGTACATTACACCTACCTCGCATACTACTGGCACATTACTTCTACCCCATTTGAAGCCGTTAGTACTGGGTTATGTGTTATTAGTAACGTAACCATAAGATGGTTATATGCTTGGATCGGGATTGCAACACTTATAACTAGTCCAATGCTATGATCACTGTGCCACAGCTGCTATTTTATTTTTTTATAGATTTTCATACTTATCATCGTTTTCAAAATAATCCAAATCATTTTCACTATCAGAATCATCATCAGAATTTTCATTAACTATTTTCAACTATTCTCTTGCATCAGATGCCATTTTATGTCACTTGTACTTCTGAACTCTTTGTTGTAACCTTGAACTTGAAAGAATTGAATCTGAAGTATCCATTGCACATATAATTACATAAACAAGGTTATGTTGACGGCTATCTTTTCGAGTATGATTAATCCTATCTAATCTAAAAAGTTTGTTTCTACTTTCTGTATCCTCTTCCGATAGCATTCCAACAAGAGCAATTAAATTTCATATGATTTGTGAGCCATGTATCAATATCTTGAAGTTTAGACAAGGGTTTTATATCTTCAAACGCTTTTTTTGTGATGTTTCTTGTATTACTTGTACCATGGATTCATCTTGGCATATCTAGATGTTTGTTTTTGAATCAATTTTGAGTTTCAATTTGCCTTGCTTTTACTTTGAGTTCATTTTTTTTTCCCGCATACTTGCCATTGATTTTCAGGCAAAACCTATTTGTGAGAAATGTGGAACTTTGCTTCAAAATATCATATACGCATGTGAAGAATACTTAAACCATATTGTAGAGCTACTGGGTTAACATCAAAAACTCCTTGTATAAAGTTTTCTGACTTATTCATGTCTTTTGGAAAACAATCACAAAGTACATCTTTGAAACAGATGCCTTTCTGATAAATGCTTTAATCTTTTTATCTATTAAAGTCAAACACTACTTACATTCAACAAATAATTTTTTTCCAGACTTCAATCTAATTATAATCTCTTAAAGTTCAACAGTTTTTATATCGTATATGTTACATTTAATTTAATGATGTATTCTTTACTTTCTTTTGCAAATTTGATTCTCTATGGTCGACAAAATCTAGTACATTAAGAAGTTTGATTATTCAATAAAAATTTTCCACAGCTTGTTTGCAATCTTAAAGGAATCATAGCCCTCACAAATAGTAATTATCATTAAAATTTTCATTTAGATCTTGAACGAATAACGCTTGGTGCATGCTACTGTTATAGCCATTAGAAAATATAGACATGCATTGAACAACAACAATAAGTTCTGTGACATTTTTATCAACAGGTTCTTGCTGTTATTTACTAATTCTTTCCAGAGTATGCTTTAATAAATGCTTCCATTCTACTTCTATGCAATTTTCTAATTGCAGTATTTCAAGTGCTCAAAAAAATTTTTTTTTTGTCTAGCTTTTTTCCTTGATCATCAGTTCTTTAGAATTTGCTCCCTTCATCTTGTTTTCCTGATTAACATAATTTGAAATCTTTTAAGTTGTCTGTTAATCATTATCTCGCTTTATATACTTCATCTTTTCTCTTCTAGTAACTTCTAACTCTAATAGTGGTTGCTTGCTGCCTTGTTGAAAGTAAAGCTGTTGATAAAAAAAGTTCACTTAAACAACACTGAGATTTTCCTGCTCATGCCAAATTATAAGGAGGGAAAACATCACTGCCTTGAATTTTAGCTGCGCATCTTATTTGATTATATTGATCCTAGGACAAATTCTCATCAAATAGAAACAATAATGCTTGTTCTAGTGACATTCTCACAACTTCAAAATTTATCTTCTTTAAAACAACTGATTTATTTATTTAACAAGATTAGATAAATCTTTTTTATTGTGTTGTGCAGCAACAGTTGCAGTAGTAATTAGGTACAATGTCTTAAGTACATTTCAGTTTCTGGTTTGTTGTTAGACACAAGATTAGCAGTAACACAATGTTTGGACCTACCAGATGTCTCCAAAACTAATATAGTCGATCTTCCTCCTTTCCTGAATTGGATGGCTGACGGTCACATTTAAGCTTTATTGGAAGCTTTTATTTAGTTTAAAGCCAACTTAATGGTAATTCATGAACCTTGCAGAAAAGTTACCCTGTTGTCTCCAAAGTTGTATTGCTTTTTGATATTTTCTATTTTTTGTGTTATTACTTGTTTTTCTACTTCTGTTAATTCTCCTTTTTCTATAGTGTTTATCATTTTGTTTAAAAATTGAAACGATTTCAATATACGTAATAATTATTT